CTCTACATGCCAGATAAAGGGGCCTGGTAAAGGGGGAGAGAGGAGACTCATGACAGGGCAGCCACGGTAAGCATCTGCATGTCTACACCTGCGTGTCGGCCAGTCTACATCTTCAAGGGTACAGGAATCGGCCTCGGGACAATAGGGAAGACCGGTGACAGAAAGTGAGGAAAGTCCCAAAGAGTCTCAAGCCTCAGGCATGACTCGGTTGCCCTCATCTCGCTCTGTCTCTGAAAACAGAGTAGGTGGGTGGGTGGCACTCTTTGAGATGATAAGAAGCCTGGCCTGTCTGGGGGCCAGATGTTTACGGGTGAGACCCATCCTTCCGGAGCCCAGGACGCTTGTAAGGAGCCCACAGGAGGCAATGTCCCAGCTCAAAGGACACGGATGCCAAGCTGAGGGGCGGGGGAGGGAAGGGAAGGACTTGGTGCCCAGCTTCTGTCCTGAGTTCACTTAATTCACAGGCCCAGGAAAGCATCTTTTAGCTGGTTTCTTACAGAACTGATAGTTGACTATCAGAAAACATAAAGGAAATCTAAAATGGAGGATATTGCCACAAGGTTTTTGGAGAAAAACATTACCTTGTTCCCTACATCCATCCTGAACAGAACTGTTCCATGGATCTGTCCAAAGTCAAGATGTGACTTTCCCCTTACTTGGCGTTCTCTCTCTCTCTCTCTCTCTCTCTCTCTCTCTCTCTCTCTCTCTCTCTCTTTCTCTCTCTCTCCCTGGAGCCTCATCTTTACTACAACCCCCACTATAATAACACATTTTAAAACATACCATCAGGGCTGGGAATGTGGCTTAGTGGTAGAGTGCTTGCCTAGCATGCATGAAGTCCTGGGTTCCGTTCCTCAGTACCACATACACAGAAAAGGTCAAAAGTGGCACTGTGGCTCAAGTGGTAGAGTGCTAGCCTTGATCAAAAGAAGCCCAGGGACAGTGCCCAGGCCCTGAGTTCAAGCCCCAAATGTTCTTGGGCTCATCTCTTCCTGGATAATGTCTGCTTGTCTACATAACCCTGCTTCCACGCCCACTCGTGTTGCTCTCTTTGTGTTTCTCTCTCGTGTCCACAGTGATCCCAGCCCTTGAAGTTTGCTTGCGTTAGATCTGTGTCTCGTTTATTACAGCTATGAATCTTAGACTGAGAAGAGCATCTGTTCAGAGAGAGGAAAAAATGTTAGGTCGGATCCATGGCCTGCATTGTAGAACTGCCTCCCTCCAAACCCCTCCTCATTCCCAGAACTCACAGGAGCAGGAGTGGCACGAGGTGGCTAAAACTGGGTTAGAAACTTGAAGAGGAGAAAGATAATTAAATGGCCAAACAATTGTGTTCTTGTAGGCAATCTGGCAGAAGTTAAGAAGAACTGTCTAAGTGCCTCAGGCACTTAGAACCATTACATCTTGAAAGCAAGCACTAAAGTCTTTCTTCTCAGGGAACAGCCAGGAACCCCAGGCAATTAGATTATTCTTTACAGAATGTCCTCATGCTTCAAGTACCATCAGATCTTATCTAAGGCAATAAAAACCCTGACCTGGTCACTAAGTGCCTCTCAGGGGTGTGTGTTTTGATCACTTGAGACAGCAGATCTTACTCTGAGCCTGCTCCAGCACAGACAGTGATTTTTCTATTGTTCTTGTGTCTCAGTAGCTGTCTTCTGTAAGAAAGCTCAATACTTGCCACTTGCGTTGGGGTCAAAGTCATCTCTCTTTGACTGTAGCACCTCAAAGACACTGAAGCTGTAGCTTTACCCCTCACTCTAAGGCATACCTCCAAAATAAACTCGACAAACAGGAGTGGAGGATTCTGTGTAAGGTCTCGGAAAGGCCAGGATTCCTACCCAGCTTTACCACAGCCAGAGCAGGCCACTGATTCCTGCAGTTCAACCGCCCCCCACCCCTCCTGTGGAGGGGGAGGAAAGGCAGGAAGGTGTTTTCATTCTAACTTCTCTGAACTCTCCCACCCCCTCTGCAGCCCCAGGGCCAGCCACCTCACCTCATTGTTCAAATTCCAGTCTTTGACAAACTTCTCTATAGCTATCTTTCACTTCCTGCTTTAACTTGGTTCCCCGGTGTATCTGTGGCTCTTTGAAGTTGAGTTTCTTCCTTGATTTCTATTAAGTAATTCACTATTGGAATATAGCAATGCTGCCAGGTTGTGCAGGCTGATGTGGTATGCTGTAACTTTGCTGAACTCCTTTGCTAGTTCTAAAGGTCCTGGAATGGAGTTTGTGGGGTTTCCTCTATAAGATTGTGTCTTAGCAACAATGACTATATGATTCTTCTCCAATTTGAATACTATGTGTTTTTTTGCCGGCCTGGTTCCTCTGGCTAAGATTCCCAGAACTACAGTGAATAAAAGAAGTAAAAGTGGGCGCTGGGAAAGTGGCTCAGTGGTAGAGTGCTTGCCTTGCATGCCTGAGGCCCTGGGTTCGATTCCTCAGCACCACATAAGCAAAGAGAAAAAAGCCAGAAGTGGCGCTGTGGCTCAAGTGGTAGAGTGCTAGCCTTGAGCTGAAGAGCTGAGGGACAGCGCCCAGGCCCAGAGTTCAGGCCCCACGACCGGACCCAAAAAAAAAAAAAAAAAGAAGTAAAAGTGCATGTTTGTCTTGTTCTACATCTTAGAAAACTTTTGGGCTTTTCCCTATTTCATATAACACTAGGTGTTGGTTTATGTGACCTTTGTTTCATTGAGGCATGTTCTTTCCTTCCTTCCTTCTTTCTTTCTTTTTTTTTTTTTTTTTTGTCATCGTGGGGCCTGAACTCTGGGCCTGGGCACTGTCCCTCAGCTCAAGGCTCAAGGCTAGTGCTCTACCACTTGAGCCACAGAGCCACTTCCGCTTTTCTGGTGCTTAATTGGAGATAAAAGTCTCATGAACTTTCCTGCCTGGGCTGGCTTTGAACCTCGATCTTCAGATCTCAGCTTCCTGAGTAGCTAGGATGACAGGCGTGAGCCACAAGCACTCGGCTGAGGTGTGTTCTTTCTAAGCCTAATTTGTTTTGCATTTGTTAGTATGACTACATTCTGCTAGTTTGCTTTCTGCATCAACTAAGACAGCCATGTATGTGGTTTCTGTGGACCCTTGCATGTGTGTGGACACCGAACAAGAAGCTGGGGGAGACGGCTTGGGGAAGGGGGGAGGAGGGAGAGGGTCAGAGGAAGTGCATCTGATCGAGCTACACCGGATGTATAAGAGAACACGGCAAAATGAAATCCCCTGGTACACGTAACTACTCTGGTAAGGTATGTAAGGGGAGAGGAGGGGTGAGGTTTGGGTTTTCCATTTTCCCAGGGCATGCTGGAACAGCTGACCGTAACTGAGCGATCGCGTCCCTAACGGAGCCGGCGCGCGCAGAGGCCAGCACAGCTCCCGAGCATGTCCTCCTCTGCGCGGCCCGTCACCTCCCATCCTGGAAGGCCGAGGGGACCTTGGTGGCCAATGGTCAGGTGCAGACCTGAGCCCCGTGCAACCACCGTGCAGGTCTCCTGAGAACCTTCCAGGGCAGAGTCCTCCCTCTAAAGGACTCTTTCTGGGGAGAACGAGGTTCATGTCTTCAGGGCATGTGGCTCCAATGGAGCGTAACCAATAAAACGATGCTGTGTCGGCTCACTACAGACGCACATTCCAAGCCTGCCTCAAGGGGCAGAATAAAACCCAAGATAAGATCTTCCCATGATCAGTCATCCATCGCTGCCCACCCCAAGGCCCGTCCCAAGAGCTGTGTCTCGCCCAGCCCCACCCCTGGTCCAGGGCATCCAACATTGCACCCACCTGGCTTTCCAGGCAAGGGACTAGGCAGTGTTCCAACCTGTCCACCCCAAGATGGGCCCTTTCCTCCAGCACTTCGGACTGTCCATTTGGAAAATCAAGCCTGTTTGGGGATCTTTCCATTGCCTCTGCCTCTAGGTAGGGGAACACTAAAAGACACAGGTTCCCTCTCCACTGTCTGACCGCCTACCCACTGGCAGTCAGACCCCGCTGGCACATCGAAACTTGGCTTCTTAAAACCCTGCAAACAGGCCATGCCTGCCATCCGAGCTACTCAGGAGGCTGAGGTAGAAGGAAGGAAAAGCCAAGAGACTCTTCAATTAATCACAGAAAGAGCTGCAGTGGCACTGTGGCTCAAGTGGTAGAGCTCTAGCCTTGAGCAAACGAGCTCAGGGACAGTTCCGGGACCCCGGGTTCAAGCCCCAGAACCAGCAAAAAAAAAAAAAAAAAAAAAAATCCTGCAAACAGTCCTTGCCTACATCCTATGAACTTTTTTTTTTTTTTTTGCCAGTCCTGGGGCTTGAACTCAGGGCCTGGGCACTGTCCCTGAACTTCTTTTGTTCAAGGCTAGCACTTTACCACTTGAGCCACAGCACCACTTCTGGCTTTTTTTTTTGTCAGTTGTGGGGCTTGAACTCTGGGCCTGGGCACTGTCCCTCAGCTCTTTAGCTCAAGGCCAGCGCTCTACCACTTGAACCACAGCACCACTTCTGGCTTTTTCTGTTTATGTGGTGCTGAGGAATGGAACCCAGGGCTTCATTCATGTAAGGCAAGCGCTCTACCACTGAGCCACCTTCCCAGCCCCCACCTCTGGCTTTTTCTGTGTATGTGGTACTGAGGAATCGAACCCAGGGCTTCAGGCATGCTAGGCAGGCACGCTACCACTGAGCCACCTTCCCAGCCCATATGAAGTCTTGAATTAAGCTTCTCCGGGCTCCTAGACTCTCCGTGGGCCTCTGGAAGAATTTCCCCTGCACTTGGTGGAGGACATGGCGGGCCTCACACAGGGTCCTGGGCTCCCGTTCCCTGTGAAAGGGAAGCCTCTTCCCCTCAGCGAAGTCCCTGCACCTCCTGGCACCCGTGGGAAGGAATGGCACGAGGACTGTCTAACCCTGCAGAGGTGTGATGGCCCCAGTCTGTCCTGGAAGAGGCCGGTGCCCAGCCCCACCCAGCTGAGCCCAGCTCTATAAAGGGAGTCTTCCCCACACCCACTCTGGAGAGTCTAAGTCGATGCTCTCCACAGCCATGGGCCCGTGCGTTTGGGGTTCGATCTTCTTCCTGGTGATCTCATTGCCTTCGGGTAAGACGGCTGCGTGGCTACCTCGAAAGGGAGGGGGTCTCTCAAGGGCTGACCCCTCACAGATTCCAGTAAGCCTACCAAGGGGGGCTGCCAACATGAGATGACCCAGCAGGCTGAGGGTGGCATGTCGGAGACTGATCTCCAGGCTCTACCCTGCTCATCTTCCACATCTGCATTCAGCCATGCAGACTGCTGTTTCTCTCACCTTCTTCCAGATAGCCTTAGACTCAGCCCCGCTGCCGAGAGGGGAAGGGAAGTGAGAGCTGGGTCCAGGCCGACCCCCCCACCCCAGCAAGGGGGAGCACCAGCTGCCTGCACCCTGACTGCTCTTTGCCATGCTTTTCTCTTTTCAGGGAATTGTTTCTACGGCAATGATGGCATTAAAATTCGAACTTGCACAGCCCTGGATGGTTTATGTTTCTTCGGGTGTAAATCAGGATGGACGTGGGTTGCATTCTGCCACAACATGATGTCTTGTTGTATAAAACAGACAAAATTTATTCCTCCCCAAGCCAACAGAAGGTGACCGTCACCTTCCGAAGCCACTGAAAGCATCCGAGGGCAGACTGCACACGGGCAGATGAGTGAGCTCTCATGTACTAGAGGAATCCATGCTGTGGGAAATTAAAAAAAGAGGTTTTGTGGAAATGAATACCAGGATGCTGAAATAACTGTTGTCATCGTGTGTGTGTGTGTGTGTGTGTGTGTGTGTGTGTGTGTGTGTGTGCGCGCGCGTGCGTGGCGGGGGGGAACGTGGACTGATGAAAAGGAGGGGAGCCAATACAGTCATAACACTCAATGTACATACATTTTTTGTTTTTTTTTTGGTTTTTTGTTTTTTTGTTTTGGGTCCGGTCCTGGGGCCTGAACTCTGGGCCTGGGCGCTGTCCCTCAGCTCTTCAGCTCAAGGCTAGCGCTCTACCACTTGAGCCACAGCACCACTTCCGGCTTTTTTCTTTTTGCTTATGTGGTGCTGAGGAATCGAACCCAGGGCCTCAGGCATGCAAGGCCAGCGCTCTACCACTGAGCCACCAATGTACATATGTGAAAACAAAATGAGGAAATGTGAGGGGATGGGGTGGGTGGGGTTGGGAGAGACAGGGAGGGAAGAATGACAGAACGAAAGGCAAGATCAAGGTGCATTGTGTGCATAAATTGACATGTTGAATAGGACGCTTTCATATAACTATTTCAGGATAAGTTTTAAAACACAAATAAAAATAAACATAATTAAGAGAAGGATATGTGAAACAGACATAATGGTACACCCTGCTAACCTCAGGACTTAGGAGGCAGAGGCAGGAGGATTGTAAGTTCAAGGCCAGTTTGAGCTACACTGTGAGACTCTGTCATATAAACAAATATAAACTCCAAATTTATGCAAAAGTGTAAGAACTCCTTCATGAGCCATGGGTAGCAGAGTAGGGGCCAGATTCCATCCAATTCACTGGAAAGGAAAATTCCAGAAGTCTTTTTTTTTTTTTTTTTTGGTCAGTCTGGGCCTGGGCACTGTCCCTCAGCTCTTCAGCTCAAGGCAGGTGCTCTACCACTTGAGCTACAGCACCACTTATGGTTTTCTGGTAGTTTATTGGAGATAAGAGTTTCATGGACTTTCCTGCGTGGGCTGGCTTTGAACCGTGATCCTCAGATCTGAGCCTCCTGAGTAGCTAGGATGACAGGCGTGAGCTACCAGCACCCGGCTCCAAAAGTCTTTTTTAGAGGAGGCATTGTGGTGAAATGCTTGCTGTTCCATTGTCTGCCTTCTCATCTCAAATCACCAACTCCTGTTCCAATTCAAACTCAACTCACAAATGATACAGGTCTACGGGCCCCAAAGTATGACTTACTTTGACCATTAAGACAACAGTTTACCACAGGCTGGGAATGGTTTGAAATAGTTTACATTTAACAAATGACTTAATCCTCACAACAAAACCTATGATTCTCCATTCGTCCAAATCTTTTCCAAAGGTCGCATAAGGAGTAACAGTGACTTAGTGATGACTTTAGACCCAGACAGTCTTGATCCAGCTGTGTTGCTTTTGAGGTGCATCATTCCTCAGTTGGTAAGGACCTAGATGAACTGCAGTAATCCTAACTACTGAGGAGGCTGAGATCTGAGAATCGAGGTTCGAAGCTAGCCCTAGCAGACAAATCTCAGATGTTTATCTCCAATTAAACAGCAACACAAGAGAAGCAGAGGTGTGACAGAAGTGGTAGAATACCACCTTTAGAGGAAAAACCAAGGGGCTGGGAGTTTAGCCCAGCAGAAGGGCGCCTGCCTGGCGCGCGCAAGGCCCTGGGTTCGATCCTCAGCCCTGGAAAAAGAAAAAAAAGAAAAAAAAACACTCCAGTGTAAGAGGCCATGAGTTCAAACCCCAGTAATGGCATGTACGTGAGCATGCATACACACACACACACACACACACACACACACACACACACACAGAGAAAGAGATAAAAATCAAGCTGCTGTGAACATTCTTATTCCTGTATTTCCCTTTTCAATATATGCATTGACTTCTGAAGAAATACCAAGTTCCTGATTGGTTGGTTCTACCACTTAACCCCTGGCCCCAGCAAGTGAGAGTCATGGCTACCTTGTTAGTATCTTCTCAGACGCTCCCACTGTGGGGTGTTGGGCTTCCTCTCGCCTCCACCGTGCGGTGACAGCCCCTGGCACAGACCACTCTCCTGACAAGCACAAGGCTGAGCAGTCTTCCATTCACTTTGATCTTTCGTGTATTTTGCCCATTTTTATGCGGTTTTGTGTCTCTCCATCCTTGGCTTTTTATCATTGATTCCTACTATCTCCCAGTCTCCAGCTACGCTTGCATCAATGAAGTGACCTTCATCTGCTTGACTTTTTATCATGTTCCCACCACCCTAGCTCTAGCCACGCCATTATCGCAAAGAAAATGGTGGGGGAGATGAGGGCTTGGGTCCCCTGCCTCCCATGCCGCTCCTTCCTCAAATCTCTAACACACATGGGGTCAATGCGCAAGATGGAGAAGAAGCCAGGAGAAAAATGGGTGCCACAAAACCTTTTTAAATTATATGCTGCTCGAGTCGGAACTCCGGGGCTTGTACTGGCAGGTGCTCTGCCTCTTGAGCTATGCTCCCAGCCCCCATCTTTTTCTTTTTTCTTTTTCTTTTTTTGTCAGTCATGGGGCTTGAACTCTGGGCCTGGGCGCTGTCCCTGTGCTCTTCAGCTCAAGGCAAGCACTCTACCGCTTGAGCCACAGCGCCACAGTGGTTTAATGGAGATAAGAGTCTCACAGATGTTCCTGCCTGGACTGGCTTTGGACCGCAATCCTCAGATCTCAGCCTCCTGAGTAGCTGGGATTACAGGCGTGAGCCACTGGCACCCGGCTCCCATCTTTTCTTTAAAGGTGCAAACAGCTAAGCTGTTGCCTTGTGCCAAGCCAGGGAAAAAAGGACTCTTGAGCCACATGATCTCTCTTGAGTAAACAAAGGGATGAATGAATAATCAGGTCCTGTCATAAAGACCCCGTTGAAGTGATTATGAGGCTGACAGAAACCAATCCGCATCGAGGCAAGCACAAGTGAGTTCCATCTGCCAACATGCCTATGTGCCCAGCACCAAAAGCCAAGTATGCCGTATTAGGGGTCCTTTGTGCAGTGCACCGTCTGCCACCAGGGGGCAGACAGACGCACTGCTTTGCTTGCTTTGCTCCAAAGCCTCATTGTAATGGGTTAGGGTCCATGGCCAACAACAGCTGGTGGAATCTTTCTTTCTTAAACTCCTGCTTGACTAGCATTGCTTTTTTCTTCCATGTCTTCGTGGTCAGCACAGTGCTGGGCATGAGGTCAGCATTCTCCATAGCGAAGATTTTCAATGAAGTTGCGGAGACCTGTTGCATAGCAATGCATGTACACACCACAAACTACACACTCAGAAGGGGTAGGATGGTAATTTCACGCTGTATTCTGTGCTACAATTAAAAGGAAAATAAGCATGCCAGACATTTCTTTACCCAGTCCCCACTTCCAGACAACACCGCAGTCCTCTATGTCCCTTCTGTAATCGTTTCTATCAACAACAGTGAAAAAGACAAAATTTAAAAAAACAAAGCAGACTTCCAAGAGCCAGGCCTGGCTGTGCTACACCTTCTCTAAACGAGTATCCCCCCCTGCAGGAGGTGTGGAACGTGCAGCAAGCACGAGGTGCTGAGTTCAGACCCTAGCTCCACCAGAAATTAAAGAAATACATAAATAGAAATAAACCACATGAGCCGGGTACTGGTAGCTCAAGCCCGTAATCTAGTACTGAGGAGCTGAGATCTGAGGATCACGATTTGAAGCCAGCCTGGGCAGAAAAGTCCATAAGACTCTATCTCCAATAAACCACTCAGAAAAAGCCAGAAGTGGAGCTGTGGTAAACATTAGCCTTGAGCAAAAAACCCTCAGGGACAGTGCCCAGGTCCTGAGTTCAAGCCCAGAACTGGTTAAAACACATACACACACATACACACACACACACACACACACACACACACACACACACACACACACACACACACACACCCAAAAAAGCATAACAACAACAGAAGAAATAAACCACAGAAAACCATCCATTCTGCATGAAAACAGTCAACCCACGGAAATAATTAGAAAACATAATAAAAGCCAATATTTAAGAAGGCAGAATCAAGTTTTCAATTTAAAAGATTTAATAAAACGCGCGTGTGACTTCTCTGGATGCCACGTTTCACCTCTCCAGTAACAGAGGCCCAATGAATGCTGGGGAACCCCCGCAGCCACTCACACAGCATCCGGCCGGCTCTGGGAGTGCAGGATCTGCAGACACACACACACACACACACACACACACACACACACACACACGCAGGGACTTAGTAAGCCTGTCACCTCTCTTCAGAAGACAGATCTGAAAGCCACACCTGACGGGGTTCTGCACAGAAAGCTTGAAGGTGCCGGGGGAGGGGGATTCCTTGCAGAGAGTGGCTTGGCTCTGCAGAGCGGGACGTGGCCGGTGGGAGGCCCTGGAGCTCCATTCCTGAGGGAAGGACTCCTATAGAAGGCCAGCTGTACCGTCCACCCCAGCTCTCACTCTCTCTTTCTGGCCAAGGGCCACTCCCTGCCCTCCAGAACCCTGACCTCCCTCCTTCCCCCCCCCTGCAGCACTGGGTCCTTCCCACACAAGACGGAGGCTATCCACCCTGTGGCGCCACCCTGGCCCCTGCCCCAGACAGCTGCTCCCCCTCCCACCCCCATCCCTGGCCCCAAACGGATGACCTCATCCATGGCACCAGCTCCTATCAGCACCCCCCTCTCCGCTCCTGCAGGGGCAAAGGCCGCACAGGAGCAGGGGCAGGGCTGTTACTTTAGCACCAAGCAGGGTTCTGGGGATTGTCAGGGAGAGCCTTCAAGTGAAGGGAGCCGTGGCTTCGCTCTGTAGTTCCTGCCCCCGGTCCTCTCTGCCCCTGCACACTGCCTCCTCTTCTAACTGGCTTCAGCCGGCCCATCTTCATGCTGCTCTCA